CTTTTTCCCCCTCCCTCTCTCTCTCCCTTCCTCCATCCCTCTCTCTTTCTCTTTCTCTCTCTCTCTCCTTCTCTCCTCCCCTCCTCTCTCTCTTCTCCCCCTCCTCCCTCTCTCCTCCTCCTCTCTCTTTTCCCTCCTCCCTCTCCCCTCTCTCTCCCTTCCTCCACCCTTCTCTCTTTCTCTTTCTCTCTCTCTCCCTCTCTCCTTCTTTCTCCTCCTCCTCTCTCTTTTCCCCCTCCCGCTCTCCCCCCTCTCTCTCTCCCTTCCTCCACCCTTCTCTCTTTCTCTTTCTCTCTCTCCCTCTCTCCTTCTCTCTCCTCCCCTCCTCTCTCTCTTCTCCCCCTCCTCCCTCTCTCCTCCTCCTCTCTCTTTTCCCTCCTCCCTCTCCCCTCTCTCTCTCCCTTCCTCCACCCTTCTCTCTTTCTCTTTCTCTTTCTCTCTCATACACACACACACACACACACACACACACACACACACACACACACACACCCCTTCCTGCTCTCCAGGGCACAGGATTTGAGCCAGTCTCAGCAGTGAGTTAGACTCTTGGTCATGGGGGAGGGGACTGTCATCTCCCCTTTGCGGGGTGGTTTTTTTTTTTTCTTTTCAACCCCTCAATTAAGGAGAGCCGAGAGGCGTGTGCGTTTCTTCGGCCCTGACCCCTGCTTCTACTTCGTGGCCCCTCATTCCAGCGCTGCCCCCGAGTGTCCCGCCAGAAGCCCCGCCCGACCCCACCTGCTGCTAACTCTGCACCTCGGGGTTCCAGCAGGTTCTCCTTCACCCCACCCCCCCACTCCCAGCTCAGGTGTGCAGGCCCGCCGTGCCCAGAACCTGCAGGGAGGCGAGAGGTGGGTTTCTGCTTTCTGTCTGTTTGTCGTTCCCCGCCCCCCAGGAGAATAGTTTTCTCTGGTCTTGGTGGGCTCAGCTGCTGCAGGAGACCCTCGCCCGAGTGACCAGCCCTTTCTGGGGACCAGCTGCGCGTGATGTTGCCTCTTGGGAGAAAGGATGGAGCAGTGGGAATCCATCCACAGATCCTTTACTTACATTAACTTCTGACATCCTCCCCTCTCCCAAGCTGGAAAAACCCAAAGGATTCGGGTTCCACAGGGCTGGTGAGGTGCCAGTGTGGCGCACACGTTGGCTCTCAGAGGTCTCGGCCCCCAGCACCCTCCCTGGCCCATCGGAGGTCACAGCCCAGCATACAGATGCCGCCAGCTGCCGTCTACACCGCGGGCCTCTCCAGTTTCACGGAACCCAGTGGCCCCTTCCTTCTGAGGGCTGGTGGTGTAGAGGGGAGGGAGAGACGGAGGAGGAGAAGTAGCCGCCAGCGTGCGGAGGGCAGAGGCTGGCACCCCTGGGCCCATCCAAGGCCTCTCCAGGCTCGTCCTCCCCGCTGGCTTCAGGGCAGAGACCGAGGTCGCAGAGGAAATCGGAGACCACCACGTAGACACGAAACAGGGGGCTACTGACTCTCTCAAAACATTTCCAATGACGTCCTCCACAGTCTCATTTTCTACCGAAGGCAGCTGTAATAAGTTTTGGAAGACAGGGTAAGGTTTCGATTACGGAGCACGCCTGCTCGTGGTCGTGTGTGTGTGTGTGTGTGTGTGCGTGTGTGTGTGTGTGTGTGTGCGCGCGCCCACAGGGAGAAGGGGGTGGTGAAGAAGTTATTCTGAATCAAGGTGAGAAAATTTGGCACACTGTTATTTGCAGATGCCATAACATCGAACCATTGTAAAGGTTTTGCATGCGCGCGCGCGCACGTGTGTGTGTGTGTGTGTGTGTGTGTGTGTGTGTGACAATAATGGGGGTAGCAATGGAATCAGTTAATAACTGGCACTCGGCAGCCCGTTCGACCACAAGTGAAACAAGCCTTCAGCTGTGCAGCGGGACCCAGCGTTACTCGGCGGCGGCTGAATTCCCTGCTGGAGACTGGCGCGGGCGAGACGTGGGGCTCATGAAAGCGCTCATTGTCCGCAGGCTTCGTTACTGCGTATCACACGCACAGTGTTTGCTTGTGAAACGATTTATTAGAAACAAGTATGTTTCAGAAAGAGGACTTGGTCGGAGATGCAGTTGATCTGGCTTATGACATTTAAGATTTTAGAGAACCTTTGTTTCGAAGAATAAATATTTAGGGCCAACTGTAAATATTTATCGGGAAACACGCAAACACACACGCATGTGCTGGCAACACTGGGAGCCGGAGCCAAGGAATGAACTGATCCCCACGGCTTGCTCGAGGCAGGAAGGAGGCAACTCCTCAAAGGCTGCCCGGCCTGGGGACGCCTCTGAGCAGGGCCGGGAGCATCCAGCCCACGGGAAGCCCCGGGAAGGATGTGGGGGAGGGGGGGTGCACCTGGGAACGTGTCTGAGTGTGTGTGTGTGTGTGTGTGTGTGTGTGTGTGTGTGTGAGTATCTGGAATATGAGTGTCTCAATGTGTGAAACGTGTGTGTCTGAGTGTGAGTGTGTGGGTGTGTCTATGAGTGTGTGAATGTGAGTGTAAGAATGTGTGTGTGTTGTGTGTGTTCTGTGAGTGTGTGTGCTGTGTGTGCTGTGAGTGTATGTGTGCTGTGTGAGTGCACAGTATGTGTGCTATGAGTGTGTGTGTGCGTGAGTGTGTGTTCTGTGAGTGTGAGTGTGTGCATGAGTGTATGTGTGTGCTGTGAGTGTGAGTGTGTGTGTGTGAGTATCTGGAATATGAGTGTCTCAATGTGTGAAATGTGTGTGTCTGTGTGTGAGTGTGTGGGTGTGTCTATGAGTGTGTGAATGTGAGTGTAAGAATGTGTGTGCGCTATGTGTGTGCTGTGAGTGTGTGTGTGCTGTGTGAGTGCACGGTATGTGTGCTATGAGTGTGTGTGTGTGCTGTGTGTGTGCTGAGTGTGTGTGTGCGTGAGTGTCTGTGTATGCTGTGTGCGTGAAGTGTGTGTGTGTGTGCTGGTGTCTGTGTGTGCTGTGAGTGTGTGTGTGAAGGGATTGGCAGCACCATGTCAGCAAACCTCTTGTGCCAGCTCCTCAGGATGGCACGTCCGTCAGAGCGAGCATTTCTGCTGAGTTTTTTCCTTTGGGGGGTGCGGCCAGCAATACTCAGGGGCTGCCCCTGGTGGTGCTTGGGTGTTGGGATTCGAACCAGGGCCGTGGCTGTAGCCACGCGCTAGGCAAGTCCCTTCGCCTCTGTCCCTATTCACTTATTCATGCTTCTGCTTTGGGGATGTCAGGGATCGAACCCAGGGCCTCGCCAGGGCTCTCCCCCTGATCTGCACCCCCAGCCCTCTTCCGGTTTTTGGGCTGGGAGAGCCTGGCGTGGCCGGCTAAGGGCACCCATGTTTTCTTCGTTTTTGGCCTTAAGTTTGTGAAGAGCCTGGCCAGCCTCAGCTAGGAGGTTCGTTTGCACACATCCGGTCTGGTGCAGTCAGTCCTATGCAGTGACCACTGGACACTCTAGCGGGCTTAGCTGTCCTCTCTGATGTGTGCTCCCTGTCCAGTGCTCAGGAGGCCCAGGTACCCCGGGCGAGCGTCCTCTGTGCCTTGGGCCTGTGGGGTCCCCTCACTCACTGGTCACCTTCTAACTAGAGGTGAGGGACAGGGGCTCCTGGTGCCGGGCAGGGGACAGGGCGTGGCTGGACCACGTGGGGTTCTGTTTGTGGATGGATCATCCGAGATGCTGGCTCTTGACCGAGGGCAGCCGTGGAGGCAGGTTCTGGTCCACGTGTCCTGCCTTGGGGACCGTCCCCCCGCCCCGAGCAAGCTGCTGTGTTTGTCACTCCTCGGGGACCTTTGGGTGCTAGACTCACGCACACTGAGGTCTTTTGCAGGGCTTCCGCAGGGCTCCCCTGCAGGAGAGGGTTCGGAGCCCCACAGAAGACAGAAGGGGTGTGCTTAGCCGGCCCCGGACCCTGGGGAGAGGAAGTTGCTAAGAACCCCAAGTTGGGGCTCCAGCCCTGGGGACCCCGAGTCTTGTCTCTTGGGGCGTCATGTCTGAGTCGACGCTGCCCTTTGAACTCCCACATTTGGTGCCTGTGACCCGTGGGCTGTATCAAGGATCCCAGGAAACAGGAAGAGGAAACGGGGAAGAGATGAGTCCAGGTGCTCCTCTGGTCTTCTCATTGTTTTGGGTTTTCAGTTTTTCTTTCTATTTATTTTTTGTTAAAAATTCAGGAGGGGGGGGAGGTGGAATTGTGGAGAAGGGAGGTTGGACCACATACAGCAGTGCTCAGGGGCTACTCCTGCCTCTGTGCTCAGGGGTCACTCCCGGCAGTATCAGGGAGACCGAGAGCTGGCCGTATGCAGGGCAAGTCATATCCCCTGAGCCATTTCTCTGTCCCAGGTTTTAATTTTTTTTTAAATAAGGATGAAAGCTTCTCTCCTGCACCCGAAGTGAGACACGGCAGGGGGTATAAGCCACTTTGGGGATCCCGGTGGCCTGAAACTTTTGTTGTTGTTGTTGTTTGGTTTGGGGGCCACAGCTGGTGGTGCTCAGGGTTTAATCCTGGCTCTGTGCTCAGGAGTCACCCCCAGTAGGCTCGAAGGACCGTAAGGGGTGCTGAGGATTGGACCCGTGTCGGCCACTTGCAAGGCAAATGCCTTACCTGCCGGACTGTCGCTTCGGCCCTGGGTGACCTTAAACCTTGACTTGGGGTGTTGAGCTGACAACCCAAGTCAGGTTGTTGGGTGCGTGTCCGGAAGTCTGGGATGAATATCTGAAAGGAACAGCTTTCGGGGAAGGGACGTGTCCCCCTGCCACTTGGCAGCTGAATTGTCCAAATGAAATCGAGCCTCTGCTGGCTCAGTGGGGCACAGACAGCCCCGTCCATCGAGAGCTGGTAAATTCTCTTGGGTATCCCTCAGTGGTCTGACCAGGGGCTCGCTCCAGTGGCCAGCTTCCCTGTCCTTCCTGTCCACTCAACAGGGGTGCTGTGTTGCCTGTGGACTTCTCGGCCAACACCACCGCTCACTTCTCCATCCTTCCCTCTCCCCTCCCCCCCTTCTCCCTCAGAGCGCTCACCCCACCGGCCCATCCTCCAGGCCGGGCTGCCGGCTAACGCCTCCACGGTGGTCGGCGGCGATGTGGAGTTTGTCTGCAAAGTGTACAGTGACGCGCAGCCCCACATCCAGTGGATCAAGCACGTGGAGAAGAACGGCAGCAAGTATGGGCCCGACGGCCTTCCCTACCTCAAAGTCCTCAAGGTGAGACACTTCTGGGTCTTCGGGCCCCCAGAGGCTGCGGGCAGCTCCTACAGCAGGGGACGTTGGCCACATGGCCCGGGAGGTCCTGGTGGACTCCGAGAAGACGACTCTCTTACGACGGGGTCTGCGGGCTGGCTCGCCCAATTTCAGTGGGGAGATGGGCGGTTGGGAAGGATTGACGCCATTGACTTGCTTCGTTCAGCCATTTCTCCGCGCTGAGACCCTCGACGGAACCAGAAGGCGTGTCTGAATGTGGGGGTGACCGTCGACGCCCTCTTCCTTGCAGGCTGCTGGGGTGGGCTGGACGCAGAGCCCCCAGCTCCGGGTCCGGGCGCTGACGATTGTTCTCACGCTGCTCTTTCCTCGTCTAGGTTGCTCACTCGGGCACTAGCCAGTTCTTGCAAACCACTTAAGAGTTTTCTCTTAGTTTTTATGGTGGTGCCGGAGACCTCACGCTGGCGAGGCGGGTGCTCCCTCGGAGTGCTCCCGGGGGGCATCTGCTCTCCCAAGAAACCCTTTCACCTTCGAGATGGGGTTCCCACACCGCCGAGACGACCAACTTCCACAAATATTGCCACGCTCAGAAAACGTTGAACAAGGAAACCTTTAAAATTGTTTTCAAAATTTTTTCTTTTTAAATGGATTCATTCATTTTTTTTTTTTAAATCCAATCACCGTGAATTACAGAGTTACAAAGAGATGGGAGATTGAGATTCAGGCATACTGTGTTCCAACATCAGTCCCTTCCCCCGTGTCCTCTGCCCGGCACCAATATTCCCACTCACCCCCAGCCACCCTCTATGGGCAGGCCACTATGGGGGATTAGTCAGGGAAGGGAGACCACTAGGCCACTTTCCCTCCCCACTGCCCTAGTGGCCACTTTCCCAACTAATCCCCCACAGTGCCAGGCTTCCTCCTGAAGCCCGGTTCTCCTGCTTTTCATTTCTATCGCCTCTGGGCATTTGATATTCCCCTGGACGTGTCTTTCCCGCCCACGTGTGAGGGAGACCGTTCTGAGTCAGTGGGACTTTCCTGCAGGCCCCCCATGCAACGCGTCGGCCTTTGCTTTTGAGGTCTTCCGTGTTGCTGACAGCCAGCCATGACTAAGGCTCCCAGTTCTTCCTAAACTCCCCGGCATGTCCAGGGACCTAGGGACGCTCCCTCGAAGGACCACTTCTAACAACCCGGGTAGCTTGGCCCGGAACTAAGCCAGCATGCTCTGGTTCTTTGCCACTGAGAATGCACAGGACCCCAAGTCTGGGTGGGACTGGTCCCCGCTCTGCTGCTAGGTATTACTCCTCCGTTTGTTCCCCGTCTCTACTAGGTCACCCCCTGGAATTCACCGATGGACTGATTCTGTGCTCCCTAAACCCCACGGCCCCCTTCGGACACCTCAACCTAGCGGAGGCTGTCGTTTCATTTGTGTTTCCGTGGTGTACTGGTGGTGGGGCCCTATAGAGCGCCAATCCTTCCTGGCTGGCCGTTACATCGTTCTCCTGTGTTTGTTCCAGCACTCGGGGATAAATAGTTCCAATGCAGAAGTGCTGGCTCTGTTCAATGTCACGGAGGCCGACGCTGGGGAGTATATATGTAAGGTCTCCAATTATATAGGGCAGGCCAACCAGTCTGCCTGGCTCACGGTCCTGCCCAAAGAGCAAGGTAACAATGCTTTTGGTTTTGTTTTTTGTTTGTTTGTTTTTTTTTTTTTCCCTTCCCCCTTCAAAGAAGGCTGGATATAGAAGCTGAAAAGGACTTGGTGCTTTGGGAAACTGCAGGCAGCTTATAGGATAACTCTGTGGCCTGGGTATATTCATGGTCGTCTTTTCTTTGGGGATGTAGCTGGTCTCCGCCCAGCAGCCATGGAAAAATGCCCACAATGTTCAAAGTGCTCGCAATTATTTCCTCTCAAGATGGCCCGCTCCCCTCCCCCACCACCCGGTTGTTGAGTTGCCCCTTCTGGTCCGGCTGGTTTGGGCTGCTCAGCCCCCATCATTAAGGCATCATTTTGAGCGTTTAAACACACACCTACACTTGTGTTGAGTTGGGCACGTTGGCTTATCGTCAGAATGCACACCTCCTTTAGCCCCAGAGCGTTAGGGGAAGTTTTGGCATGTTCTCGTCTGTTCAGCCCAAACATCCCTTTCTCTGTGGTTTAAATCAGACTGGGGATGGGGTGTGGCTGGAGCCATAGCGGGTAGGGCGTTTGCCTTGCACGCGGGCAACCGGGGTTCGATCCCCAGCATCCCATAGGGTCCCCCAAGCACTGCCAGGAGTGATTCCTGAGTGCAGAGCCAGGAGTAAGCCATGAGCATCACTGAGTGTGACCCCAAAAGCCAAAAAATAAATAACATTTAATAAATAAATCAATCAGACTGGGGGAGGGGGTGCACTCCTCACTCCTCCCAACTCAGTGCTTGTCCGTATCGCCAAATGGATGCACCCCTGAACAACCCTCGAAGGCCACAGGTTGGCTTTCTTGGTTTGTCACCATTCACACGCATGTCCCCGGGATCTTGATACAGACATAAGAACAGCCTCCATTCTTGGCTGCTCACATCCTGCCTGTGCAGGGCAGAGGAAGTCAAGGTGGTTTGTAACGCTGGAGTGAAGACCCCCAGATCTGGGTCTCCACCGTGACCTTTCCCCACTGGTGGTGCCCACGGACCAGAAGGACGTGGTACAGGTGGCACCCAGCATGGGACTTCACGGGCCCTTGTGAGAGGCCACAAACCAGCTGGACCAGAAAGCAACTCAATCCTCCGGGTGACCCCCCTTTTGGAAAACCTCCCCTGAATCCCAGGCAAAGCAACAGCCACAGACACGGATCCGTGGGTTGATTTTTCCATGAGTTGGACCGCATGCATGTGTAGGTGGTGAGCCGGTGTGGTGACGGGCCTGTGGCGGTGAGCTGGTTGGTCAGTGTCGCTCCCTGTCTCTCGGCTGTGGGCTTTGTGGATGGGGCTGCCGTCGGAATGGCCCGCCGGCCAGTCCCCCCACGCTGGGCCGTCGGCGTGGTGCCTCATGGTTCTGTGGCCTCCTCCACCGTCATTCCTGTGTCGTCTAGCCTGTTCTCTCTCGCTCCCCTTCTCTTCTAGGCCGCCGGTGTTAATACCACGGACAAAGAGATTGAGGTTCTCTATATTCGGAATGTAACTTTTGAGGATGCTGGGGAATATACGTGCTTGGCGGGTAATTCTATTGGGATATCCTTTCACTCTGCATGGTTGACAGTTCTGCCAGGTATATACTGCTCTTTCTCTCCATGGGTTTTTTCCCCCTTTCCTTGGTTGATTGCTATAAAATTAACACAGCTTCTGTTCTCAGAAATGGTCCCTTTTATCCTGGTGTAAAAGATTTTTTTAAAAAAAAATGTTTGAAATTGCCTCCCTCCCCCGACCCCCGGGATTAAAAAAAAAAATAGTTGTCCTGAAATTTACTTCTAATGAGATCCCACACTCACATTTTCAAGTGAGATTTCAGAGATTTGTCCCGGAGAGCCCCCAGGGGGAACCCATCTTTCTCACGAGTCCTTGAGTTGTGGTATAAACTCGCCCCTTCTCATTTTGGTCCGCAAAGAAGTTCGAATTACTTTGTGCGACGCAGAGTAATTCGCGCTGGTATTCCAAATGCCAATTTGCTACCATCCCAGATGCACCCTGATGGATTTTGTTCCACTTTCTGTTGTCAACATGATGGAGAGAGCTAGGGGGAAGCGGAGGTGCCCGGGGAGAAGACTGTGGAACAGGAGGGTGGACAGAAGCAGTGTGTTGACCTACCTGGGGAATCGGTGGCTTGCTGCATGTCGCAATAGAATGAACTCTCAGCTTTTGCTTTTCTGCCGAGCATGAACTGCCATCTCGGGCTCGATGTTATTTCTGCCGACAGAGAAATGAACATCGCTTGCAGCCCCTGGTGCCTCCATGTCGCTGCTGTCTGAATCTTTCCCCATCCCCGTCACTTACCCGATAATCCCTCTCTCTGACGATGCTTCTGTCTCATTGTCATTTCATTTGTGAAAACTGCCTCGACCGTGGTTGGCTGGCGTGTGATGTTTTTTACTCTAGTTATTAATTCCCTGTGTGTAGGGTGCTGGCCTGCATGCTCTTTTTTTTTTATTTAATATATATCTAGTCCCCAAACAAAACAAAACAAAAATATCGATCATCTCATTTTGTGCTGTGCTGCTTAGAGTTTTGACTATCTTGCAAGGGATTTTTTTTTTCCCGATTAAAACGGATAAGCTTCCGGTAATCCCATTGCATTCATTTCGCCCTTTGGTTGTGAATCCGCTCTCTGAGTATTTGCTTTGAAACAACGACATGCCTCTAATGTTGAGCTTGCTTTTTGACTTGCGGTTTTGATTCTGCCCGTGCTGGATGGGCACTTAACCGATTTGCCTGGCAGTACTAGCACCTTTAATAAGAACCCCGTTTGAGGAAAATAGCGTTTGGAAATGCGTTGCTTGTGGATGAACCGTTGAGGGTTCAGGAGGGAGTGGAGATGATCGAAAATTGGCATGAGTCTAATTTTTAGGAAGTATTTGTGTATGCACCCATGCAATGCCACTTCTGTTTTTTCCCCTCTAAGAGAAAGGGGGTAGATACCAGTAGAACCAGATGCCCCCAAATAGAAGTGGTTACTGATGAAGGACCAGGGCGAGCTTTCATAGCATGGCGTTAACAGTTCTCTATTATAAACCGCTCAGTCTTGAACTGCAAATGTTTTTGTTGAATGATAGACTCAGCAATTGTAAGGCATTTGAAGTTGTTTGAAACTAGCGACGTTGAGGAAGTCGGTATTGCATTTCATAGGGGGCTGTGTTGACCTGGGGATAAATCCCTGCACAGCTTCCTTGGAAAGCACCTGCCCTAGTAAACTGGCGGGCATTGTCACAGCCCCAGTAGGAACGCAAGTGGGCATGGCGTCAGCATCAGGGTTCTACCCTTGGTTGGCCTTACAGCCCACAGGGAGATAGTTCTTTAGGTTGTGGCTGGTGACTTGCTCTGTAGCTGAATGCGACCATGCCATTCTCCCTTTGTACCCTGATAGCATCCAACCCATCATTACCTCCCAGGTACCCCCTAAGATTAGAGTTAGTGACCCTCTGGGTCCTGGAGTGGGAAAGCCAGGACCCCTGGGCTAATCACCTCCACTTGTGAGAGTGCTGGGGGGTGGGGCATACCCCAGGCCATCATGGCGTTCGTAGGAGCAAGTCCTTGGGAAGCCCATTTGGCCGGGGGAGTGCTGGTTAAACTTTGGTTCTGCCTCGATGCCTGCCCGCAGGGTCCTAACTCTGTGGCCTGCTTATCCGTTCCTCCCTTGATCTGCAATCTAGCGCCCGTAAGAGAGAAGGAGATCCCGGCCTCCCCAGATTACCTGGAGATAGCCATATACTGCATAGGGGTCTTCCTCATCATCTGCATGGTGGTCACGGTCATCCTCTGCCGCATGAAGAACACCACCAAGAAGCCCGACTTTGGCAGCCAGCCCGCCGTACACAAGCTCACCAAGCGCATCCCCCTGCGGAGACAGGTAACAGAAAGTAGATAAAGAGTTTGAAAAACCTTACTGCGCCCTCGCACCCCAGCCAGCTGGTGGGTCCTTTTCTCTGCTCGGAGCTTCCCAAGGCCTTGTGCTGCTTGTCTAGTCTTTGAGAGTTGGTGTGTTGCTGGGGTCCCTGGAGACTTAGTTTCCAGATTGCATCGCAGAGAGAGAGTTGGAACTGTCCGATGGGCTGGTCCTTGCTGGAGTGGGGGTCTGTCTTCAGGGGGGCAGTTTCTAGGGTGTTGGATAAGACCCAACTGCTGTGGCCTCTTTGTAGTTCTAGTTGCTCTTATCCCCTTGTGATTGGTGGAATGCATCTTTGGAGAGTGGTTCACAATTCTCGTTGGAAAGGGGAGGGACCCTGGTTCTCCACCGCCATGGGGAATCTACCCTGCAGTTGAGTCTGGAGTGCTCCTTCCTCCTAGCTGGCCTGACGTCTTTCAAGAGAAAACACAGACTCCGCTACTCTGGTTGGCAGAGGGCAGGTTTTTGCCCATGTCACGCCATTGTGAGTTGCCCACAGGTGTGGGGGCAGCACTGGCGGTCTAATCGAGAGTTTTATGTTGGGTAGGTTCTAGCGGGTTTGTGTTCTGCTTTATTTTATTTCTGTGGCATTAAGCAGTGCCACGTTGAGCCTTTCTCAGGGTTCGCGCCTGGCTCTGTGCTGAGGGACTAGAATATGCAGTGTCGGGGATAGAACCAGGGTCGGCTGCATGCAAGGCAAAAACCTTCCCTCTCCGTGGCCTGTCTCTGCAGCCCTACTATGTGCTTTTATCCTCCTGTTGGGTTGTACCCCGTGAAGAGTTTTGTTTTGCTTTGGGGAGATGAGGGACGATAAAGCCTGCAGACCTGCCTGTGACCACCCCCTGCAGAGGTTAGTGGGGGGGACGGGACAGGAAGTGCCCGCCTCCTACCTCTCTTCGTGTTCCTGCAGATGGATAGGGGTGGGAGGGGCGGGAATCCAGAAGGCTCCTGAGCTTGGTTCCCATAAAGTTACCTTTTCTGGACCCAAAAAGTCCTTGGGCTTTGTCTCCGCATGTATTTCTCTAAAATGTTCAGCTGGCTCAAGTCTCAGTCCTGCATGTCAGCCCCAGAACCTCCATTGGGTCACCTGCGGGGCCAGGCTTTTCCTGTATGTCCCCCCCGGTCAGTTTCAGCAGCATTTGGAGAAGTTCTCGGCGCCTGCAGCCCAGCCTCCTCTGGGGCTGTAGGTGACGAGCCCAGTGTCTGGCCTGGCCTGTCAGCTGGTCAGCTGTCCCTCTGGCCTGCTCAGCTGGGCAGTGTTGGGTCCCCTTGGGAAGCCGAGTTTCTGCTGCTCGTTCTTCATGGAGACGGAGCGTCAGTGGGAGAATGCCCACTCTCCTGTGTACACACCAGGGGTTCAGGGGTTCCTGGGGTCCCTCTCACCCCCACCCCCCCTTAAAGCCTTTGCTATTAAAGTGATGTCGCTGTCTTTCTTGGCGACACCAAGGCGCTGACACTGCCCCCTGCCTGACTCTGGAAAGTCCCGAGGAAGGCGACTCTGGTTTAGCCCGACGGGACCTGTGCCTCCTCCCCGTTCTCTCTGCCTCATTCTTTTCCTTTCCTTTTATTTTTTGGTTTGTGTTTTTGGGCCACACCAAGCAGTCCTCAGTTCTTACTCCTGGCTCTGCACTCAGGGATCACTACTGGCGGCCTTGGGGGTCCATCTGGGGTACCCAAATCAAACCCAGGTTGGCCATGTGCAGGGCAAGCACCCTACCCACCGTACTGCCTCTCTGGACCTCTGTGAGTCATTCGTGCCTCCACCCCCTGAGAGCTGGCCCGGGGTGGGGGGCTGCAGAAGGGAGTGGCCTTGCCCATCTGTTTGTAAGGGAAGGTGCTTCTTTCGGGAGGAAACCCAGAATTAGGCAGAGCTGGCCCATGTCCCATCGTGATTTCATCATCTTGTTTTCTGGTGACTATTCCAGAACTTTTTGCCTCTTTTCCCGGCTCTTCAAGTCCTGGGACCTGCTCGTCCCTTCCCATCACTGTCTATCTGGTCCACAGACCTTTTTCAGGGGCTGGAGAGGACATCTGAGGTCCTGCAGTCTCTCTCTTCCCCGCCTCCTTCCTTCCTCTGTCATTCCCGGGCAGTGCCTCAGTGGCCCTGGCTTTGACTTGTTTTCTCCCTGGCCCTGAGATGCCTGGGGGGGGGGGGGCGGGGACAGAGTCCGGCCCCCTGAGGGAAATCTTTAGGCAGGAGTTAGTGGTAGTGGGGCCCACTGGGCCCACCTTCACTCCTCTGTCCATTAATGTGGGGCTCATGGTGTCTCCCAGAGGGTTTATACCACCCCAGAAGTCCCAGTAGGGGCTCAGGTACCTGGATCAAGGCCTGTGGGACTGTGGCAGCCACAAGCACCCAGGAAGGCCTGCATGGGGGTTGAGCACCCGCAGGTGCAGTTGAGCACCTGCACGGGGGTTGAGAGAACCGCCAAGGTGTTTCCCTGGCATCAGATGAGCCAGCGGCCCCCTCCCCTCTCCCTGTCATGGCACAGAGCGTGGATGGTCCTCAGCACAGTAACCTGCCCCAGCTTGATGCTCATGGCACTCACTAAAGGTCCATTTTCCCCATTCAGGACAAGAGAATGGGGTGTGTGAATGTGTGTGGGAGTGCGTGGATGTGTGTGTGGGAATGAGAATGTGAAAGTGTTTGCAAGTATGTGAATGTGTGTGTATGTGTTCATGAGTGTGTGAATGTGTGTAGCACTGTAGCACTGTTCTCCTGTTGTTCATCGATTTGCTCGAGTGGGCCCAGTAACATTGTGAGACTTGTTACTGTGTTTGACATATCGAATACGTCACCGGTAGCTTGCGGTCGAGATACTCTCGGTAGCTTGCCGGGCTCTCTGAGAGGGGCGGAGGAATCGAACCTGGGCCGACCAGGTTGGCTGCGTGCAAGGCGAACAGCTTACCCGCTGTGCTATCGCTCCAGCCCTGTGAATGTGTGTATGTGAATTAATATATGACTATATGAGAATGTGTGCGTGTATGTGAATGAGTATGTGAATGAATGTGAGGGTGTGTGTGTGACTGTGAGTGTGTGAATGAGTATATGAATGTGTTTGTGTGTGGATGTATCTGTGTGAGTGCGTGAATGTGTATAAGTGTGCTTGTGTGTATGAGAGTGTGTGGGTGTCAATGTGTGTGTGTGTGCATGGATGAATATGTGTGACTGTGTGTGTGAATGTGTGTCTGAGTGTTGAGTGTGAATGTGTGTAAATGTGCTATGCATGTGTGAGTGTGTGGATGTCTGTGTGTGTGTGAGTGTGAGTGTGTGGTTGTGTGTGTGGGAATGTGAGCGTGGCTGTTTGAGCCTGGTGTGACCTATCATCCTATCATTCCTTTTCGGCATTTCCTGGCCTGGCCTTGTCTTCTCTGGGTGACAGCAGGCATCTTGCTTGAGTTGATGTGACTGATTTATTATTTGGGGGTTGGGGGGCTCCCAACAGCTGCCAGGGGTCCTGGGGCCACTCTCAGCAATCGTTGGCATATGGGGCTGGACCCCAGGATGTGTTGCTTCTGCTGCCTGTGATTCAGGGGACCCCTGGCTGGTCACTCTAGTCCCTGCACTATCCCCCAGCCCTCAGCCCCACACGCCAGGGCTGGGGTGCCGTGTGGGCCTGGTGAGGTGGCCTTAGGGGAGACCATGAGGACACGCTTCCCAGTCTCAGCACAGCCCCGTGTTGGGGTGCGGAGGGCTGAGGACGCTTGTCCAGGAGAATGACGTGCTCTTGCTTGGGTTTTCCAGTTCATTCTCTGGAGCCAGAAACGTCTAGAGGACAGCGTGGAGTTAGTGTCACATCAGCCTCGGGTCCATCCCCAGGCATGCAGGGGACAAATGTGTGCAGGGGTGTGGGCTCCCCGAGGCCCCAGGGGCACCGAGGTAGGCTGGAGCCCGGGTTTGCTCTTTTTTTTTTTTTTTTGCTTTAGGGTCATGCCCAGAGATGCTCAGGGTTTCCTCCTGGCTCTTGCACTCAGGAATCACTCCTGGCAGTGCTTGGGGGACCATATGGGATGGTGGGAATCGAACCTGGGTCGGTCGCTTGCAAGGCAAATGCCCTACCCGCTGTGCTATTGTTCCAGGCCCCCCCCCCCCCCCCCCCCCCGCCGGCTTTGCTCTTAATCACCATCACTGCCCGGTTCCCTAAGTACTGCCACGTGTGGTCCAGGACCTCTGCTCTTCCTCACTAAAGCTGCTCCCCCAGCCAGGGGCAGTGCTGGAGGGACCCCAGGCTGTGCTTTCTCCCGGTCACTATTGGAAGAGGACACAGGTTGGTTGGAAACCAGAGAATAATCGAGGGCAGCCGCAGGCCCATTTCATGAGACCTTTGAGGAAAAGGCATGTTTCGGGAACATGCAAGAGGGAAGACAGGAGGGAGGGTGTGTGTGTGTGTGTGTGTGTGTATGTGTGTGTGTGTGTGTGTACGTGTATCTCTGTGTATATGCGTTTGTATACATATGTGTGTTGTTATGTGTGTCTATATATGTGTCTCTGAGTATGTGTATGTGCCTGTATCTGTGTGTGTGTGTTTGTATGTCTGAGTGTGTGTTTGTTTGTCTGTGTGTGTCCATGTCCTTCTGAATGTTTGTATGTCTCTTGTTTATCTGTGTCTCTGTGTGTGTGCGTGTTTGTCTATGTGTGTGTCTGTGTGTGTGTTTGTCTGGGAGTGTTTTTCTCTCTGTGTCTCTGTCTCCCCCCCACGCTCTCTCTCTCTCTCACTCTGAGTTTATGTGTCTCTGGGTGTGTCTGTCACAGGGATGGTGGTAATTTATACCAGTTCTTGAGGTTGTGCCTTATGGTGATTAAATACCAAATTCCTGAAGCAAAATTCCATTTCTGGAAGCTCACTGACTCCTCGGCTGCCTGAGCCCTTTGAGAAGCTCTGGTTGGTCAGGACTGTGAGGCGTTAGCTATGGGCATGGTGGACGCAGAGGGACTTGGGGTTCTATGACACCGAGGGAGGGAAGCCTGTGTGGGGCAGCCCTTCCTTGGTCACCGTCATTTTATTATGAGACCTCTTGTCTGACTGGAGGGGCCTGGGGACAAGGCTGCTAATAAGACCCCCTTCGCTCCGGGCCATAGCCTGAGAGTCTGGTTTGCTGGTCAGCGTTCCAGAATGACAGACATTCCTCCTTCCCCTACTGCGGTTCCCCAGCTGTGGGGTCCCCCCCACTGGATCTCTCCTGTCCGGTCTGAGAGGTGGCACATTGCTTGGTGGCCACGTGGAGGGAGAAGAAGCCAGCATTCTCTCGTCCATTTTCCCATCTGTCTGGTGCGTGCAGAAAACGCTTCACTGAAGGTCCCAGGGAGAGGGATTCCCCAAAGGGGGGTGCTGACCAGCAGGTGGACCAGATGCCCGGGTGGCTGCGAAAGTGGCCAGGCTGTGGCCAGCATGTCAGCACTGTCACTGTCACTGTCCTACCATTGTTCATTGATTTGCTCGAGCGGGCCCAGTAACATTGTGAGACTTGTTACTGTGTTTGGCGTATCGAATACGTCATGGGTATCTTGCCAGGCTTTGCCATGTGGGCGAGATACTCTCGGTAGTTTACTGGGCTCTCTGAGAGGGGCGGAGGAATCGAACTCGGGTCGGCCATGTCGGCAGCCACATGCAAGGCAAACGCCCTACCCGCTGTGCTATTGCTCCAGCCCATGTCAGCACTGACCATCCATAATAGCTGAGGGGTCCCATGAACAAAGCAGTTCACCGTGAGGGGCCCAGGAATCGCTGGGGTTTGGCTCATGTGTTCCCCAATGCTGGGGTGTGTGGGAAGGACTTGAGGGACTCCTGGGGCAGCAGTGGGGGTGCTGCCTATCCTGAGGGTGGGTTTGTCTTCAGGTAGAGCAGATGGCGTGCTCATGGCCCCAGAGGGGATTTGAAACACGCTATAAAATGGCACAGGCGGATTCTGTGATGCTACTTGTGGCGTTTTCTTACCCTTCACCCTGCTGCGTTTCACAAAAGCGTTTTCCAGATTTGCGTTGTGAATCTGATCCCCCCTCATGGGCTCCGCACCCCTGTTCCATGAGCCACCTTTATGGTAACACATGCTTCCTGCCCTGCCCTGCTTTTTCTGTTTTTGTGGGCTTTTTTTTTTTGGGCGGGGGGCAGCCCCAGAAGTACTCAGGGGTTACTTCTGAGGGACACGCTGAGTACGGCTCCCAGGGGCCTCCACCTGCAGAACCTGCGTTCCAGCCCTCGGAGTTTGTATCCACCCATTACATGTGGTTGAAAGTTTTAATAATGATGGCCATGGATTCTGTGAAGATTCCCCATCTTCAGAGCCTTCTCGTTAAACCCTTTGTGAGTCACTTTTGCGGGGAGGAGGTGTGTGATTGGGAACTTTGGCTTGAGGGTTTCTTTGGGTGTTGGGTCTCTGTAGAGCGAGTGGATGGTTGGAGTTTCTTTGGCTTCTTAAGCCTTCCTTGCTATTCCAACTCTTCCTGCTGGGGCCCTCCTTGACCCCTGGACTTGTAATTTCTTCTTTTTTTTTGTTTTTGTTTTTGGGTCACACCTGGCGATGCACAGAGGTCACTCCTGGCTCTGCACTCAGGAGTTACTCCTGGTGGTACTCAGGGAACCACCTGGGATGCTGGGAATTGAACCCAGGTCGGCCGTGTGCAAGGCAAACGCCCTACTCGCTGTGCTATATCTCTCCAGCCCCCTGGACTTGTGATTTCTAAGGTGGAGAAATTTGGTCTTTGGTTCCACTGGACTGAGTTGGGGTCCTCAGCTCCTGACTCCTGAAGTCACTTCCGAGACAGCAGAGAACAACCCCCTTTCAGATTTTGGCAGACTTGAGTTGCCGGTGTACCCTGGAACTGGGTCTATAACCCACTATATCAGGCTCCAAATACCCCCCCCCCCCCATTCCTGGGGAGGTGCCAGGCCCTCGGGCAGCCAGATGCTCTCGGGAGTTGTCAGCAAACACTCCCAGGGTCCCTCAGTGCAAGACTCTGCATGATCCATTTCACAGAGACTTGCCCCACTGCAGTCATGAGCTCCTTCTGCCTCCCTGTCACAGAGGGACAGCAGGAAGCTGCCTTGACCCTTGAGGCCCTCAGACTCCTGACTCTGTGCTCAGAGATCATTCCTGCAGGGCGTGGGGGACCCAGTGGGGTGCTGGGAATCGAACCTGGGTTGGCTGCATGCAAGACAAGCGCCCTGCCACTGGTCCATCTCTCTAGCCTCACAACTTCCTATTTCTAAGATGACACCCCACCCTGGACAACAGTTCATTCCTTTTTTTTTTTCTCTTTGGGTGATACCCGGCAATGCTCAGGGGTTATTCCTGGCTCATGCACTCAGGAATTATTCCTGCTGGTGCTGGGGGGGGGAGGGGCATATGGGATGCTGGGAATCGAACCCAGGTCTGCCGCATGCAAGGCAAATGCCCTATCCATTGTGCTATCGCTCCAGCCCCACCCCAGTTCATTCTTGGGCCCTGCTCAGGCTTCCTGCCCACATCCCGGACAGCCTCGCTCACAAAGGAGAGTCATACGGGTTCCTGAGTGGAACACTTCTACAGAAGGGCAGTGCACCCATCCCACGATGAGAGCCAGCTCTCTTGGCCCTGTTCACTCTGTCCACAGGGATTCAGGTTTGCCCTGGGTTGGAAGCTGTTCGTGGGCACAGCCACCACTCCTTGGCAGCCCACTGGGCCGGGCGATCTTTGACTTCACGGAGGTAGTTTAGGAGGGCTAGTGGTCTAGTGGCTCACAATGGTGCTGTCATCCTTCAAAGTGCCTTTTGACAGTTCTCTGTGCACCCTTTCCTCCCGAGAAGCCAGAGGAAGCCTGTGCCCCTGTTAGTGGAGGGGCCTAGCCTGGAGCCGGGCGGAGGGAGGAAGCCAGTCAGGAAATGCTTCCCACCCGGTGAGGAGGAGGACACGCTTGTTCAGGGCCATTTCATCCCCTGGGTTCAGCCGTGGGTGATGCTCAGCTGAAGGCCTGGGCACCCAGCGGTCCCCTTGGCTTGGCAGGAGGTAGAGTCTGCGGCCCAATGCCCGGTTATCTTGCCTCTGGGCACCGGGACTCACCATTTGGCTCCTAGTCCTAGAGTCAGTTCCTTGGGCCCTCGAAGAGCTGATTTTTCAGAGGGTTCCGATGGGCTTCTTTTCTTTTCTTTTTTCTTTTTTTGGGGGATCACACCTGGCGATGCTCAGGGGTCTATTCCTGGCTGTGCACTCAGGAATCACTCCTGGCGGTGCTCAAGGGACCATATGGGATGCCGGGGATGGAACCCGGGCTGGCCACATGCAAGGCAAATGCCCTCCCCACTAAACTATCACTCCAGCCACAGCCGTCGATGAACTTCTAGAGGGACAGCAGTGATCGCTGACCAGCCAGTCTTTGGGGACACTGGATTCTGGGGTCTCTGCTCCAGAGACAGTCTGAGGAGACGCTTTAGAATCCCAGCAGTGGCCTGTCTTCAAGGGCTTGTGTTGTGAAATGAAGACTGAAAAGTGACTCCTCTTCGGCCGCTGGTCCCACAAAACACATTGGCAGAGTTGTCATGGGGGCATCTCACCCGGAGGCCACAGTGAGGAGGACCAAGGAGCTGGGGTCAGGGGTTTCCTCCTTCAGTGAGGTCTAGGCCAGCCACCCTCCCCCCCAACTTCCTTTCTAAGGTCTGACCACCTGGCTGGGTCCTGACCTGCTTCCGGCCTCACCGGCTGGAACCAAGATCACATCTGTGTCCTCGCCTGTCCTGTGCAGGTCTCTGCGGAGTCCAGCTCGTCCATGAACTCCAACACCCCACTGGTGAGAATCACCACCCGCCTCTCCTCCACGGCTGACACCCCGATGCTGGCTGGGGTCTCTGAATACGAGCTTCCTGAAGACCCAAAGTGGGAGTTCCCAAGAGACAAGTGAGTCCTGCCTGTGCCTCCCCGCCAGAGCTCAGAGAGCGGGGATGGGGGATGATGATCTCTTTTCCCAGGTCCTTCCTGCAGTGGTCAGATGCTGCCAGTGGGAATGAATGAGCTTGCATTTCTAAATCACCAACTCTTGCAAAAAAAATAGAATGTGGCTCGCTCTCTCTTTCTCTCCCTCTCTTTCTCTCTCTGTCTCTCTTTCTCTCATTCTTTAAAAAACAGACTCACTGAGCCATGATTGATTCCCAAACAAGATGGCACCTTGTCAGCATTTTTTCACTCTCTAGACCATTCAAAGCCAGTCAAATGGAATAAAGTGGAATTATCCCATTTATGAAAGAGAGCTGACATTCCAGCTTCTGGCCACTAGATTGTGGCTCTTCTGTCCTGGGTGCTTTGCAGAATACCAATTGCCTCAAGACTCTTCCTTGGCTGTTGCCGTTTTTCATGATGAGTGATATGATATGGAGCCCCAAAGCTTTGATGGGGACACCTGACAGCAACTCTCCTGTGGCCCCCAGTACCGTCCTTCTGGGTTGCTGTAGTCCCAGTGAAATGAGCCAGGTGTTGCCCGAAAGGCTGTGTTCCGGGCTTTGCATGGAGCTGTGCATTTCTTGGTTTGGCTTCGGGTCCCAGTTTCTGGGTTCATTGGGTAAACTTGGGCGTGGGCAGCCTGCCCCACGTCACCTGATTTTCTGAACACATGAAGGTCATGGTCCAGATCAGCCAGGCCTGAGCAGAGAGCTGGGTTTCTCTTCCCTTTGTGTGCTGCTCGCCTGGGAGCTTTGACTCACAGGTGTTTGCAGAACACAGACAAGGAGCACCAAGTCTGTCTAGGCAGCACTCACCCCTACTTTGGAGTTGGAATATCGGGGTCTTTTCAGGGCTCACCTCCAGGTTTCTCCTTGGAATCATTAGACTACCCAAGAGTAAAGGGAAACTAAGTTCACTGGCGTGCACATCTGAGCCTAATCCACCGGAATAAGCTTCTGACTCCACACCAGGCGCCTGTTTATTGGAGTTTGGGCAGCACCTCTTGCCACTAGGTCAGAGAAGTGCTTAATCACCAACAGGAACCCAGTCATACATATGGAAGACAAAGACCAGCTTTACCGGGCAACTGGCTTTTCCAGGACTCTGTTTGGAAAGAGATGCCCTTTCTGCAGCCCTGGTTTTGAGTCACACAACTCCGCCCTGGCCAGTGGAGAGGGGTGCCGCGTAAGCTGGACCCAGAATAAAGGGGCAGCTAGTGTTTCTGCGAGAGGGTTGGTAGCAGAAATTTCTAAGTTTGCTTGTAGAGCACGATGGGAAAACCATCCCTCCAGTCATTTTTAGTCCTTCATTTGGGACATGCTTATTGGACAGTTGGGGGCATGTATATTTTGGAACATTTCGGGAACATTCGGGATGTGTACTTTGAACATTGAGCCTTCACAGTGAGCCACAGACAAGATACAGCGAATGGCTTCTTTACACATGGAAGCTTGAAAGGGGCTGGAGAGATAGTCCAGTGGGCAGAGCACTTGCCTGGCATGCAGCCAGCCTAGATTCGATCCTCGGTATCCCATATGGTCCCCTGAGCACTACCAGGAGTAATTCCTGAGTGCAGAGCCAGGAGGAACCCCAGAGCATCACTGGACATGTTCCTCCACCCCCCCAAAAGGGCAGAAAGTCAAGAGAGAAAGGGATATTTCTCACACATGCGCCAAGCTTGGCTTGCCCTAGTGGGTGGGTCCCTGGAACAGAAGGGAGCCTGCGAGTAGGCACGGAGCTGGGTGATCACACTTGATGATGCTCTTAGTTTGGCCCCGGACCTCTTGTCCCCAGTGACACATGTGATGTCCACGCCCAACCAATGGATGCTTTTACCTGCCTGAATGTTTGCCCCTACTGGGGGTGCTCAAGGGTGGAAAATCACCATTGAGTATTTCAAACCCGGGCTTAGCACAAATGTAGGTGGAGCAGATTTCCAATGAATGAAGGCTTTTTAGAAACCATTTATTACATCGCAGGCTGGAGTCATACAAAGAAAGGATTGTTGCACTTATAGAAACAGGGCAATTGGACATAAATTAGCCGTTTTTCCAACGCAAATGTTTACTTTCTGCCAAGATATTAAATTTAATTTTAGCTTAGGATAGAGGCAGAATGACCTCAGCCAGCATCCACCACCCTTAGTTTAGCTTCTGCAGACCATTGTGTCTGTGTACCGTAAATACTGGTGGCCGAGGACAGCTCCGTATTTCTCTGTGCTGTGCTCATGTGGAAGACTTATCGGAGAAGTATTCCAAAGCCTTCTCCATTCCTTTGGCTTCTGGAATGCCCATGGGAAATCTGTGCTGATTAGAACGGGGCGCATAAAGCTTCTGAGCTTAGCAATGTCGTTCGTTGTGTTCCACTTTGGATGCGCACGATTAATTCCAGGTAATCAAAAGGATTTCCACGCGGTTTCGAAAACATTCTACAACTCCATGCACACCAAAGAAATTTCACTCTCTCTGCAGCTTTCTTTGGTGAAGTTAGAGATTCCTGGAAGTATGTATAAGATTCCTGTCATGCAGGTCAGTGATTTTCGAAGATGTCGCAGAGACCCCAAGGGAAAACCAGGAACAGCTTGAGTTCCTTGGAACTTCCCTGGAGTCCTTTGCTACATCCCACGTGTCCCAGTGGCTGCAGATTGCAAACTCCTCCTTGTCAGTGCTCAGGAAAGCTGCCTGGCTCCCTTGCAGAGGGACCTTCCCTAAAGAAAATAAATGGAGACCACAAATGTGAAACTTAATAGCTGTCTCGTTATTGACAGTCTCTAAAAAAACGGCACAAAGAAAATACTGGCGCTCCTTGCACCCCGGTCTCATTAGCTCCATATGAGAGCCCGGTGTGCTTGCAAGCCGCTGAAAAGGTTTGTTTTTTTTTTTCCCCCGTGGCGTTCTGGAATCTCCCTCACCGGCCCCCATCACCAGATGCAGTGCAGTGGCTAATCCGCTCTTTCCCGCTTTAGGCTGACGCTGGGCAAGCCCCTGGGAGAAGGTTGCTTTGGGCAAGTGGTCATGGCGGAAGCCGTGGGAATCGATAAGGAGAAGCCCAAAGAAGCCGTGACGGTGGCCGTGAAGATGCTGAAAGGTGAGGGGGCCTGTGTGCTCGGGGGTGGGGGGAACGGCTGGGGAATGCGCCTTTGTGGCATGCGACCTCTTCCCGGGCAGGGGTCAGAGGGCACATAGTTGACCTGGGGGTGGAGGCGTTTTCAGGATAAATCAGCGTCCTGGACACACTATTTATCTTGAGCTGTGTGTGTTTGGAGAAGGCCAGGCTCCTTCGGGGAGGGGATGGGGGGGATGGGCGGCGGGGAGCCGGGGGTGCCCAGGTCTGCTCTGTCTCCTCTTGTTCTTGCTGCCTGGGAGATAACTAATGTCCAATCAGTGAATTTAAGAGACTTATTTTTTTTTTTATTTTTGGGTCACACCCAGCGATGCACAGGGGTTCCTCTTGGCTCTGCACTCAGGAATTATTCCTGGCAGTGCTCATATGGGATGCTGGGAATCGAACCCGGGTTGACAGCATGCAAGGCAAACGCCCTCCCCACTGTGCTATCGCTCCAGCCCCCCTTATGAGACTTTTAACCTTTGGTGTCCCCCCCTCCCCTTTATGTTTGTGTTTGGGCCACACCAGATGGGGTTAGGGGACCACTCGTGGCTCAGTGTCAGGGAATCACACGGTTCTGGGGGTGTCACACATACACTGAATGGGCGCGCCCAGCTCTGTCAGGCCTGTGGTCTTCTGTGAGCCATCACTCGGAGTGCCCATGTGCCTGGGCAGGAGGTTCTGATCTCGGGCTGGGGGTGGGAGGGCACCTTATGCTTCAGCAGTGTGTTGGGAGACCTCCCTTTTTCTCTGCCTCCCCCCCCCCCCACCCCTTTGTTGGATTCTCTTGGGATAGAGGCCGAGTCCTCTCCTCTAAGGAGAAATCTACTGGAAATAAGTCAAAACAAAACAGACATGCAAATGCACACAGAGTCCGGAGAGGTAGCACACGGGTAAGGCACGGGATAGTGCATAGTTCATCCTGGTTCTGACCCGGTGCTGCACAGTCCCCATCAGATGCAGCCTGGAGGCCCCTGAGCCCCCGTGGGATGACCTAGGTTCTCCCCGGCACTGCTAGCACCACATCCATTGGCCTCACACCAAACCAGCGACTTGATTGACAGTTGTCAGGTGCGGGAGGGCCCCCAAAGTGTGCCCACAGTTTTTGGGGTGCTTCTGAGCCTGTCTCTGCAGGCACGCAGGGCACAGGGAGCCCTTGGCTGTGTGGAATGAAGTGCCTCTGTCCTCTCCTTGACTTCTCCCTCCTCCCCACCACTGCTTTTGGGCTCCTGAATGTGGGGGGTGGTTCTCACAGGCACCGCAGGTCTGCAGAGGATGGAATCATTTCCAGTAGATGGAGGAAACTGCATACTTGTGGGGATTGCTGTCAAAGAAGGGGGCCCGCTGTTCTGGTCCCCACCTTCGACCCCCCCCACTGACCCCAGATTAGCTCTTTTGACGTGGAGTGGGGGAGTGTGGGTGCCCCTCAGCCTCTGTCCTCTTTCCTGATGGCAGTGACTGGGGTGACTGGCTCTCTCAGAAATCGCTTTATGCCATTCCGGTGGGTGGGCGGAAGCTGGGGTGTAACTTGCCTGATGTTCCCAGACGATGCCACAGACAAGGACCTCTCAGACCTCGTGTCGGAAATGGAGATGATGAAGATGATCGGAAAACACAAAAACATCATCAACCTCCTGGGAGCCTGCACGCAGGACGGTGAGTGGGAGCAGGTGCCCCGGGGTGGGGGGGGGCAGGCTCTGCACTGTGACTTTGGGGCCCCTCTGGGAACGTTTAGAGTTCGCCTAATAGTCCCTTACACCCTGTGAACGCAGGGGACTCGGGGGAGGGGGTTGGGCATTGGGTGTCTTTGGAGGGAGCGCCCAGGGGTACTGTGGCTTTCAGGGTGTCACTTGGGTGTTGGGAAAAGCAGGTTTGTGCATTTTTGTTTGGGGACAGCTCAGAGACATTCCCCAGCACGCTACCCTGGACTTTGCTTGGCAAGCTCCTCCCTTTCCGGGGGGCGGAAGAACCCCGTCTGGGTTGGGCCAGGTGACTGAACCCCCAAGAATAACTTGATGGCGAGAGCGTGTGAGGGAGCACTTTGGTCCCCTTGGCTCAGTGTGCCAGTAATGACCCTGAAGATGCTGGTCTCTGTCCTGGCTCTTTCTCTTGCATTCAGGCGAGAGGGACACAACAAACTTTCTCTGCAAAGACTCTGGGCGCTGTGTGTCTTTAGGGCATTGTGGCAGCCATAAGTCCCAGCTATTGGAGGGAGAGAGAAACCACTAGAGCCTGTGACGGCTGGACAGTGGTGTGGGCAGGGTCAAGCCTGGGAGCTGGCCTGTGCCAGCCTCTGCTCTGTGCCCTGCAGTGCCTGGGAGAGGAACTGACACTAAAAGCATCCACTGGGTGCTGCTCACCGTGGTCCAGCCCTGAAAGTGGCCGAAGGGGGCAGGAGCTCGTCATAGGCTAGAACACGGGGAAGAAATCTCTGGATTCTTTCTTCTCAGCTGATTTTGGTCCCATCAGGTCATCTGGTGGGGAAGACGGGCAAGAGAAGGTTTCGATTATGCCCTTATTCTCAGGCAGCCCGTTTGGGATCACGTGATCATGGGATGGTGATGGCAAGGCAGATGTAAGATCATTAGAATGAATGGAAAGAGGCTGTTTTTTTTTTGTTTTGTTTTGTTTTGTTTTTGTTTTGGGGCCATGCCCAAGCGGTATTCAGAGCTTACTCCTGGCTCTGCACTCAGGATTTACTCCTGTTGGTGCCCAGGTGACCCTCTGGGATGCCGGGGATTATTGGCTGCCTACAAGGTGAGTGTCTTATACCTGTGGCCCGAAAGAAGCTTTTTTTCTGTGGCTGCTGTTGTGCAGATTGGCTCTGTGGCCAGAGGCAGGAAGGACCTCTGCTGTGTCTCGGTTGGTTTCTTTTTTTGCTTTTTGGGTCACACCCGGCGATGCACAGGGGTTACTCCTGGCTCTGCACTCAAGAATTACCCCTGGCGGTGCTCGGGGGACCATATGGGATGCTGGGAATCGAACTTGGGTTGGCCGCATACAAGGCAAACGCCCTACCTGCTGTGCTATCGCTCCAGCCCCCTCGGTTGGTTTCTAAGCACCAGGTTGTAACTGCCGGCAGCCAGCGCCGAGAGTGGGTGCTGGCCTTGCCGGCTCAGATGTGCCCGCCTGTGTCCGTCCGCAGGGCCGTTGTACGTGATCGTAGAGTATGCCTCCAAGGGCAACCTGCGTGAGTACCTGCGGGCCCGGCGGCCGCCCGGGATGGAGTATTCCTACGACATCAACCGCGTCCCCGAGGAGCAGATGACCTTCAAGGACTTGGTGTCCTGCACCTACCAGCTGGCCAGAGGCATGGAGTACTTGGCCTCCCAAAAAGTGAGTCCTTCGCACGCTCCTCGGTGGGGTGGAGGCCGGTTAAAAATGGCTTTGCAGAAAGAAGGCAGCTGGAGGGACACCTCTGCTCTCTCAAGCCCGTGCCTGTCCTGTGCAACCTGGAAAGTATTTAGCGCGCGGTTTCCCTTGGGGTTTAATGAACCCTTTAAAAGCCGGAGCAGCCAGACACGCCTGGAGCGATGCGTGGGAACAGGGCGCTCTGCTCCCAGAGGGAGCAGCTGGCCTAGAGTGCGTCCTCCTCCTGATAATGGAAATTTTTTTTGGGGGGGGGGGAGGGAGGGAGGGGAGGGGTCGGTGCTGTGCTTGCCTGTGGTTATTGGCTCCGGGGACCTTGATGTGGGGTGTTGTGTGGGCACTTCTGAAATGGCATGAAATGCCCTGGCAGCAGAGACGGTGCCTGGGGGTGTAATTTTTTTGCAGCACTGAGTTCAGGACATTATCTGGGCACGTTGTGTCTCCCTCGTGGAATGACCCTCTGCGGTTGTAAGTTGTCCAGGTCCCCTGAGGTGACTCGCCCGCATTCCAGGCGTGCCTCCAGCCCTGGAACGTGAAACATCTGAGCTATTCAGAAAGCGGTTAGGCAGGTGCCCGGTGGCCTGGGGCCTCAGCAAAACCTGGATGCCCTTTCTGAGCCTGATCTCTGGGGCCACCAACGCGCTGCCCAGGACAGGGTCTTCCTTCTTGCCTATACTGAAAGTTGATGCCACCTGAGAATCCCCCAGCATCTCCCCTACCGACTACCACTAAAAGTCCCAGGGCCTAGGGGACCACATGGCACCGAGCCAGAGCACCCACCCACGAGATGTGGTTTTGTCTTTTCAGTGGCACCCCAAGTTGGCCTTTCTTGGATCAGCTTTGCTGCCAGGGCCCTTCTGGGTAGATTCTAGGCCTGGTTAGGGAGGAAGGTGGGTGATTAGAAAGGAAGTGGATGGTTAGGGAGGTTGGTGGGTGGTTAGAGAGGGAGTGAATGGTTAGGAAATAGATGGTTAGAGCGGAAGTGGATGGCGAGGGAGGAAGGTGGGTGCTTAGAGAGGCAATAGGGAGGAAGTGGATGGCTAGGGAGGAAGACTGGCACTGGACAGGAGCACCTTTGCTCAGACCGGCCCCACAGACCTGACAGTGACCCCAGTGAGGGTGAGGGGCGGAGGGAGGAGAAGCCGAGAAGAGGATTCTAGAAGCCTGAATCATACGCTGGGAACCCCTTGATGTTTCCACTTTGATGAGACTCTTCGATGTGGGCAAGTGACGCAGGCAGACTTCAGAAGCTCAGGGCAGGACGGCGGGAGAGAAGGTGAGGCGGGAGGGGGCGGCGAGGAGCATGTGAGGGAGGAGAGAGAAGGAGGCGAGTGGCAGAGGGAGAACCATGCTCTCCTGCAGCCGACGGCGGGGAAGGGGCGCCAGCCCGGCAGGCTGCAGTGAGCTGATCAGGGACCGGCTTCCAGAGGCAGAGAACCAAAGTGCCCCCCGAGGCATGGTGGCCCCTCCACTTTCCTGCGCACACAGTGGCCAAGCTGTTTCCTCCTCGGCCAGAGCCAGGCAGATGCCTGGAAGGGAGAGGCCAGGGGTGCTCAGGAAGAAAGTGCCAGGTCCCGCGCTGGGGAGAGTGTGTGGGGGGTGGACGCATGTGTGCAACGCCAGCCCCCGGTCCTGTGTGTAAAATGGGGACCACCCAAGTCACGGGTGCCCCGGGTCGGGCCTGCCCCGGACCTTGCAGGGGTACCCCGTGTGCTAGCAAGAGCCCGGCTGCCCCTTGCTCAGTGTCCTGCTTCCAGTTGGGCGCGTCAGCCCACTCCCGGCCTCTGCTCTCTGTTCCAGACTCTTCCAGGGGCACTTTAGTAGGAAGGGGAAATTGAACCTGTCTAGAACTTTCTGAGGGTGAGGGTGAGAGTCCCCAGGGCCCGGGGTTTTGGAGCTTAGTGCCGGTACAGCAAGGTTGGCTGTGCTCTGTGGGGACCGTTGTCATCAGAGGAGAAAATCTGGAATGTTACCCGGAGCAGGGCTCTGCAGGAAGCGTGAACGATGCTGCCAGGGCTGAGTTCCGGTGGGGGAGGCCCACTCAGCCGTGGCCCCGTGTGTGGTCCTGGGCTCGGTGGGGCAGCCGTGATGGGAACAGAGAGCTTAGTCTGATGGAAGGAGAGGAAGTAGGCAGCGGGGGCAGAGCTGACCAGGATCTTGGTGTGGGGGAGCACGGCCCGGTGAGTGTTGGTGGCCCCCCACACCCCTGAGCACCACTGGACATGGCTCCTGGAGAGAGAAGAATCCAGCTTTAGAATCAGGGGAGTTGGCAGGTTGAGTGGGAGCCCAGGGGACCTCTATCGGGCAGTGCCTCCTAGCTGCAAAGAACGAGGGGTCCTGGGGAGCGGGGAGGGACTAGATATGGGGCCTTCCTGTATCCTGAGCTGTAAAGCCACCAGGACTGCTGGCCTCTGTAATATGACAGCCAGCTCTCTGCTTGAGGGGCAGAATAAGGAGAGTAGCCGAGGGTTGGGCTGGACCGATGGACAGCAGGTAAAGGTGGTTGCCTTGCATGCAGCCAACATGGCCGACCCAGGTTCGATTCCTCCACCCTTCTCGGAGAGCCCGGCAAGCTACCAAGAGTATCTCTCCCACACGGCAAAGCCTGGCAAACTCCCCGTGACATATTGGATATGCCAAACACAGTAACAAGTCTCACCGTGTTACTGGGCCCGCTCGAGCAAATCGATGAACAACGGGAGGACAGTGACAATGACAGCCGAATGTCTAGGAGGAAGAGGAGGAGGACGGAGAGGAGACCAAGGGGGTCCACGGTGGGGTGGGGGCAGCTTTCGGAGCTGATCTGGGATGAGAGCATCTAGCAGAGCCGAGAGCAGAGCTGGAGGACAGCCTGAGGGGGTGGGCAGCGAGAAGTCCACTCCCTCCAGGAGAGCCAGCCTGGAAAGGGGTGCTTACGGAGGGAGCAGGGAGTGGGAGGCAGAATGCTTGGTCCATCGTTCCCCACAGCAAGAAGGGAGGGCGGTAGTTTGTCTGTCCTCACTGTTTGAAAACAAATCCCAGTTTTGAATCAAGACCTACTTTATGTCTGTTGGTCGAAGTGCATGCTCTATTTCCAGCCCTTCGGGCCTTTTAAAAAATATATGTATAGATATAACCTAGGTTTTTTAAAAAAAATTTTTTTTAGTTGAATCACTGTGAGATACACAGTTACAAAGTTGTTTATTGTGGGGTCAGAGAGATAGTCGAGTGGCTAGGGAGATTGCTTTGCACACAGCCAACCCGGTTTGCGGGTTCAATCCCTGGCATCCCATATGGCCCCCCAAGCACCACCAGGAGTAATTCCTGAGTGCAGAACCAGGAGTAACCCCTGAGCATCACTGGGTGTGGCCCAAAAAAAGCAAAAAACAAGCAAACAACAAAGTTGTTCGTTATTGGGTTTCAGTCATACAATGTTCCAATCCCCATTCCTTCACCAGTGTACATGTCCCACCACCGATGTCCCCAGTTTCCTTACTGCCACCACCCCATTCTCCATCCCTTGCCCCAACTTTGCACTTTTCTTCTCTCTCCTCTATCTCCTCTCTCTCTCTCTCTCCCTTTCTCTCTCTCTTCCCCCCCTCCCCCCTCCCCACACCTCCATCCCTGAAAACTTTCCTTCTGGGCATAATGGTTTGCAATACAGGTACCAAAAGATGGTTATCCTGTTTGTCCCTTTACCTACTCTCAGCCCTTAATTCTTGTCCAGAGTGGTGATTTCCAACTGTCACTGTCATAGTGGTCCCTTCTGTATCCTAATTGCCCTCTTCTCCTTGTGGCAAACTTCCAACAGTGGACCTCTCCTCTGGCCCTCTTCCTACTGCCCTTGGATATTAGTCCCATACTGTGTTTTATGTTTTCCTCTTTATATCCCACAAATTGGGCTGGAGCTATAGCACAGCGGGTAGGGTGTTTGCCTTGCAAACGGCCACCATGGCCGACCCGAGTTCAATTCCTCTGCCCCTCTCAGAGAGCCCGGCAAGCTACCGAGAGTATCTCGCCCACACGGCAATGCCTGGCAAGCTATCCGTGACATATTCAATATGCCAAACACAGTAACAATTGTCACAATGAAGATGTTACTGGACCCGCTGGAGCAAGTCGATGAACAACGGGAGGACAGTGACAGTGATCCCACAAATGAGTGCAGTCATTCTATGTCTGTCCCTCTCCTTCTGAATCACTTCACTCAGTATGATACTCTCCTTGTCCATCCATTTATAAGCAGATTTCATGACTTGTTTTTTCCTGGTGGCTGCGTAGTATTCCATTGTGTTGATGTGCCATAGTTTCATTCTCCAGTCGTCTGTTCTCCTCCAAGCCTTTTGAAAGATGTTTTTCTCCCTTTTCAGTGTATCCATCGAGATTTAGCAGCCAGGAATGTTTTGGTCACAGAAAACAATGTGATGAAAATAGCCGACTTCGGGCTGGCCAGAGACATAAACAATATCGATTATTACAAGAAGACCACCAATGTGAGTTGCTGGCAGTTATGGGGGACGGGAGGGGCACAGGGAACATTCTAGATGGAAGACGACGTGAGGTCCTTGCGGTGGCTGTGGTCACAGGGTTCATTCTCTGCTCTTCCTTTCTGCTGTTCTGCCTTATTCTCACGTCGGCTCTCTCTGAGCTGTTTCTGGGTTGGAGGCTCCTGGTCCGGATATAGCATCCTGTCCATGGTGGTGTCCATCCAGAGCGTCCCTCACAGGAACTGGAACTTGGAAACTTTGGGTTTATATCACTTTTGCCCAGGCTTTGGTCAGTGTGTCTGTGCGTGGGTCACTGGGGGCTGGCCTAGGCCCACTGGCTGTCTAGCATACGCCTGTCAGAGCCAAGTGGTTCTCACAGTTTGGCTTTTGCATTTCTTCCACTTGCAGGGGCGACTTCCGGTCAAGTGGATGGCCCCGGAGGCACTCTTTGACCGAGTCTACACCCACCAGAGTGATGTGTAAGTGACTTCTTTCCCTGGGCTGCTCTCTCTATTGGTTGGGTTACACAGTGTGGAGACATTGCCTTCCTCTGTGTCAGCAGCATGACAGATCAGAGGGGACAGGCATCAGCCTTCTGAAGAGCAGCCTGAGGGCATCTGTGAGGGTTCCAGTGCTCTGTTGGGGTCTTCTCGGCTCAAGACTGGGGGGTGGTGGCCCAGAGGAAAGCACCCCCTCCAACTTATTCATGCCCGTGTGACCTGTTCCTCTGGGCCCCTTGAAGGAATCCTGAGGGGTGGGCGTATGTTCAGTCCCCCCCTGGGGCTGGTTTATCAGAGCCAAGGTGAATGGAACATGGGGGCACACAGCCATCCTTGCGCGCCCCCCCCCCCCCCCCAACACACACACATGCACACAAGCCCCATGCCCTCTGTTTTCGTCTGCTTTTTGGGTCACACCTGGCGATGCACAGGAGTCACCCCTGGTTCTTGTACTCAGGAACCACTCCTGGCGGTGCTCAGGGGACCCTATGGGATTCTGGGAATCAAACTCGGGTCAGCTGCATGCAAGGCAAACGCCCTACCTGCTGTGCTATGGCTCCAGCCCCCAGTGCCCTCTGTTGACTCTTGGTCAGGCTTCTGGCTTTTCTTGTCTTTGCATCCTGGCAAGGCAGGGGAGTGAGAGTTATGTGTCAGATAGTTGTTTTGATGCTGTAAAACAATGATGCACTCCCTTGGGGTCAGGAACCCAGAGATGTGGTAGATGTGGAGCCTGGATTGGAAGGTATCCCTGGGTGGATGCCGGGTGGAAGAGATGGAGCAGCGCTCTCCTGCGTCCAGGGTTATTTCCAAATCAGCAGTTAAAAATGGTCAGTTGAGGGGCTGGAGCAATAGCACAGCGGGTAGGGCGTTTGCCTTGCATGCGGCCAACCCGGGTTCGATTCCCAGCATCCCATATGGTCCCCTGAGCACCGCCAGGGGTAATTCCTGAGCGCAGAGCCAGGAATAACCCCTGTGCATTGCCGGGTATGACCCAAAAAGCAAAAAGTAAATAAAGGTAAAGGTAAAGGCCCTCCCGTTGATCGTCGATTTGCTCAAGCGGGCCCAGTAACGTCTCCATTGGAGACTTTGTAGTTACTGTGTTTGGCATATCGAATACTCTTCGGTAGCTTGCCGGGCTCTCTGAGAGGGGCAGAGAAATCGAACTCGCGTCGGCCATGTTGGCCGCTTGTAAGGCGAACGCCCTACCGCTGTGCTATCGCTCCAGCCCAAAAAGTAAATAAATAATTAAATAAAAAATAAAAATGGTCAGTTGAACCATTTTGTGTGTGCATGGATGGAGGGTAGGTTCTTGAGTCCAGGATTTTTCCCCCCAAATAATCAGTTGCTGGGGTGGAGTCATATTACAGTGGGTAGGGCACTACTGGCCTTGCAAGTGACCAACCTGGGCTCAATCCCCAGCACCACATAGGGCCCGAGAGCCCACCATGAATGATTCCTGAGCTTAGAGCCAGGAGTGAGCTCTGAGCACTGCCAGGTGTGGCCCCCAAACCAAAGTCATTCAGTACATAAGGATCAGTTGAGCCATGTGTGTACACGTGGCGGGGGCAGGTTTCTAGACTCAGTGAATCCACCTGATCACAGTTGTTCCCCTTTCTGGAAGGAAAGGAAGGAGGGACAGACCCGCTTCCCCTGTAATTTTTCTGTAGTGCTGGGCTCAGACCGAGGGCGTTGCTTTGCCACGAGCCTGAAAAACACTGTTTTCTTACAGTGCTGGTGGGTCATCCTCCTTGCCCAGGCTGAGTGAGAGGCAGTCAGGGGCACACCAGCCTCCGTTCAGCTCGGAGGCAGTTTCCCAGAGCTAAGGGTGACAGGAAGTGGGAACTTAGAGGAAGGAAAAGGGCCCAGTGCCAGCCCTGGGGGTACAATCTAGTCTTCAAGGAGAAGCCCACCTCCTGGATCCAATCCCGGGGCCTCACACATGCTGGGCCTCCACTCGCCACCTAAGTCCTTTCCCGGCTTTCCTGCCTAATTATGCACCAGGCAAACTTCTCTGATTGTGCTGCTGCATTGACACTAAACTGGAGGCAGTTTCTGTTCTGAAACTCGCCTCCACGGAGCCGGTTGGGGGTGTGTGTCTGGCTCCCTGGAGGTGACAGGGAGAAGTGAGGAGCTCACTGGATTATTCTAGGAGTCACGAGTCTGGTGAGCAGCCTCAGGAAGCACCACCCAGGGCAGTGGGGGAAGGAGTGCCCAGGCCTGGTCCTGCCAGCTGCCGGGTCAGTCCGGGCCCTGGGCTCGGGCACATGGGCTGAAGCAAGAGAGGAACAGGAGCGTGGGAAGCAGGTGACTTGGGGGCCGTGACTGGGCGCTGCTGACTGGGTACTCTGGCGAGGAGTAGCCGAATTTGCCCAACAGTCCAATTGCCACCCAGGCAGAACAGGACCACAGTACTCACTCAGCCTCTCGTTCGTGCATGGACATTTCCGCAGGGACACCCCGTGGGGGCAGGAGGCCAGGAGGGGTCAGATCACAGGTCTTTGAACCTAAGAAACATGGAGGAAGGGGGGATTCTTTTCTGCCCTGGCAGGGTCTGGGTGTTGTGAGTCGGGGCCGAGTGACGCTTTGTTTTCTCCCTTCCCACAGCTGGTCCTTCGGGGTGTTGATGTGGGAGATCTTCACTCTGGGGGGTTCGCCCTACCCCGGCATCCCCGTGGAGGAACTGTTTAAGCTGCTCAAGGAAGGGCACAGGATGGACAAGCCTGCCAACTGCACCAATGAACTGTAAGCGGCCCCAGGCCCCTTGGCTGTGCCCAGCCTCCCACCCCCCACCCCATGATGGACACCCACCCCTCTGGCTTAGTTTGGTTTTCTGGGGCTTCCGGGTTTTGGAGCCTTCTCTAAGAAGGAGAATTCTGCAGCTCTCCGACTCCAGCCCAGAGCTGAGATCGTTCCAGCCGTAGCCGTTTCTGTCCCCAGCAGAGAGCATTGTTCTGGGACTAGAGAAGGAGTAGAATGACCCCCCCCCCCCCCCACCTACCCCTGGGGTCCTGCATGCACAGCCTGTCTCCAGCCCTTAGAGCCCCGAAACTGGTGATTCACCCAGAACCGGGGTCGGGGGTAAGGGGACCATGTTGGGGTCTGACCACTGTCCCTCTTCAGAGTGACCAAAGATGGACCAGCCTCCCCTCAGGCGTGGGTCCTGAAGTCAGTGTGTGTGTGTGGACACCACATATGCAGCCTTCGAGCAGACACTGGGTGGGGTTCCCTCTGCTCTGCCCCCAGTGGAGGCCAGGTCAGGCTGCAGCCAACACTTACACAGGACTAGAGGCGTCTAGGAAAAGTGTCCACTGCCTGCCATGGCTTCGGGCTCTTTGGGGCCTGTGTTTTGGGGGTGAAATTAGTGCTTTCCTCCCGCCCTCACAACAGAGGAAGTGGCCGGGGTTTCACTGGCAGTCCCGGGAACGCTCTTGTGCCCTGATGAATGGCTTGTCTCCCACTCGGCCATAAAGGCATTTATTGTGTGCCTGTCATCCCCGTAGTTTTTCCCAATACCGAGGGGGCCTTCGAAACCCATAATCAAGATAAGGCCCGGGACACCCGGGCCTCTCCAAGAGTTAATCAGGAAGTGAGTGTTCGGCCCGGTGATGGCAGATTAATACATGAAAACCGTGCCTGAAAGTTGTGGTTTTCTAACTTCATTATTGAAAACTGAGGAACCTTTGTCCACTTGGATCTTTTAAACAAAACTCGAAGTGTCAGGCAGATTAAAAAACAAAAGGAGCTGCTTCGGGCTAGGCAGGGGTGTGGAGGGGGGGGAAGGAAGCCTGTCCCCCCCCCTTACCGTAACCCCACCACTTCCTAACTCCCCAAGGTGCCCTAATTGTGTGATAAGGTTGGTTGGGATCAGCCTCTGTCCCCCCCCCCCCCCATCCTGCCCGGAAGTCAGCTGTGTGGGCCATGGCACTGAATCCTCCCTCTTAGATTTGGATAAAAGGATGAATTTTGTGAATTAGTGCCTTCAGGGTGGCTGCGGGGGTTGTGAGTGCCCAGCTCTGAATTTTGTTGCTCGGAAAAGTTTTCAGACATCTTCATTCTGGGGAATGTCTTTCAGTGACTCATTCGAAGGGCCTTGCGAGGGCTGGAGACATAGGTTACAGGCCAATCGCTGGCTCTGCAGGTGACCGGCCCGAATTGTGTCCTCAGAACCATATGTCGTCCCCTAGCACCAGCTGGAAGTGAGCCCTGTGCAGACAGGACTAGCTGCCGAGTCCCACTGGGTGTGGTCCCCAAAATCTTAAACAAAATGCACTGTAGCATGGTCCTCCCATTGTTCACTGATTTGCTCGAGCGGGCCCAGTAATGTCTCCATTGTGAGACTTGTTGTTACCGTGTTTGGCATATCGAATACGTCATGGGGAGCTTGCCAGGCGTTGCGATGCGGGCGAGATACTCTCGGTAGCTTGCCTGGCTCTCCGAGAGGGGCAGAGGAATCGAACCAGGCCGGCCAAATCGGCCGCGTGCAAGGCAAACGCCCTACCCGCTGTGCTATCGCTCCAGCCCCTTAAACAAAAATTGAAAAACCAAACAAGGCCGGTGGGCAGGCGCCTGACCTCACAGATCCACGTGTTTCCAGGTACATGATGATGAGGGACTGCTGGCACGCGGTGCCCTCACAGAGACCCACGTTTAAGCAGTTGGTGGAGGACCTGGACCGCATCCTCACCCTCACCACCAACGAGGTAAGCGGCTGCTCCCCCCTCAGAGGGCCGCGTGGCCTCTCCTGCACCGTCCCCTCCCGCGTGGGGCCTGCTGCCTCGTGCTCGTCTGCCCGGGCCCGGTCCTGGTCTTTCTCAGAGCCTGTGAGTTCTGACCCCTGAATCCAGCAGGCCATGACTGTCTCCTTAGAGGGGTGGGCCCAGGGTGGGCATGGGGAGCAGGGGGAGATGGGGAAGGTTCTGACTCCAGGGTGGGGCTGGTGGGGGCCGTTGGGTATGTGTCCTGGTTGGTCATGGAAGTTGCTGGGATGAGAGGCAGTGACACCCCTCAAGTCCCCTGCTTCTCGGTCACGTGGCACAGTCCTGCTGGTGCTTCCCAGTCACAGCAGGGCTCGTGTGTGAGTGTGTGAGTGTGTGTGTGAGTGTGAGTGTGTGAGTATGTGTGTGTGAATGTGATAGTGAGAGTGAGTGTGTGTGAGTCAATGTGAGTGTGTATGTGTGAGTGTGTATGTGTGTGAGTGTATGTATGTGGGAGTGTGTGAGCATGTGTGTATGTGTGTATGTGAGTGTGTATGTGGGAGTGTGTGAGTGTGTGTGTGTGAGTGTATGTATGTGGGAGTGTGTGAGCATGTGTGTATGTGTGTATGTGAGTGTGTATGTGGGAGTGTGTGAGTGTGTGTGTGAGTGTGTGTGAGTATGTGATAGTGAGTGTGTGTGAATGAATGTGAGTGTGTGTGTGAGTGTGTATGTGTGTGTATGTGTGTGTGTGTGTGTTTGTGTGTACATACTCATAGATTACCATAGTAGAGATGAGGCAGTTGGGGCGAAATTTCAGAAATCAGACTTCTGAAATGAGAAACAAATGCATCCAAGTCACATGAGCGTTTCTGACGGCCGGGGGTGGCACAGCCCTAGTGTGCTTGTCTGACACGTGTGAGGCACCACAGCCAGAAGGAGAAGTGCTTCTCCCATATCCTTGGTCTCGGCACTCTCACTCTGCTTTGCCTGCATTCAACTCCCCACCAAAAAACCTCTTTCCCACAAGTGGCTCTGTGGGGATTTTTTTAGAGAGAACTTGTACCTTTCATTAAAATACTCATTTTCTGTAAGATAGGTCTAATCCTGGCCCCCCCCCCCCCCAAGCACCCTCTCACATTCCGTCTGAGTTTAGTGCATACCCAGCCATTTCTGTGTCTGGGAAGTGGGGGGTGTGATCGAAACCGAAGGCCTGGACACTCATCAGGGCCAGAGCAGCCCGCCAGGGGCAGTGGCTACCGGGTGAGTGGGAGGCAGGAAAGAAGGTGGCAGAATTAGCCCCTCCCCCAGGAGAGAGGAAGGACCCCCCTACCTGACTCCACTGTGACCCAGGAGGTTAGAGTCATCCGAAGGCCTTGGAAGGAAAAGAATACATTTCTTTTTTTAAATCATCCACTTAATAGCTTTAGAATGATTTTGTTTTTTCATAAATACTCAAATGTGATGAGAAGCCTTCAGCCGCGGACATTCTCTGTGTCTGTGCTGATAACGGCCGAGATTGCATTTAAATGAATGCAGCTGCCCGGCCTTCAGAAGTTAAAAAGGACCAGTTCAAGGGAAAGGAAAAAACAACAACTTTCTTCTCCTGCCAAAACTGTTGTTTCTAGCCTCAGTTCCTTTTAACCCTCTGCTCAAAATCCGCTGACATCCCCGGGTCTTGGGGCTGTTCCTATCAGATCTGAACACCGGGGGCTTCATTGAGCCACAGGCGGCCACCCTCCTCGGGTGCCCACTGTGCCCTGCCCGTCTGTTGGCCTGTCCCATGGGCTGGCCCGAGTGGGCTTTGTGTCTGGAACCCTTGGCTTGGAGGGAAGAAGAAGGCCGTGTTGTCTAACACAGATCGAAAAATCGAAGTTTCTTTCCTTCTGGAAATCATTACCAGATGCTGGAGGAAAGTGGTCCCATTTAGGACAAAATTTCATTTTTATCATTGTAAGCAGAAAGTTCTCTTTTGATGTGGCGGGTGTAGTGGTTCCCAGTCCTGCACTCGATGCTGCTGGAATGGACACATCCCCCTGTGCCGGGCCTGGGTCTCTCTCCCTTGCCAACCCCAGTGGTGAATGATAATGGGGTTCGGTGGTTTTGCTTTTTCTTTCTTTTTGGTCTTTTAAAATGTACAGTTGCCAAGATGCTGTGGCTTCCCTTCCGATAAGCCCGAGGCAGGCTGTGTTTTCTGCCCCCTGTGTAAGAGGGATGGCGGGGGGGCTTCTGGGGCTGGCCCACAGAGACAAAGAGACCCTCAGGAACTGTGTCCTAGCACTGCAGACCTTTCCTGGAGAGACCCAGTAAATATGTCCTGTCTAATGACTGCTGCATCTGTCACCACCTGGAACAAGGAGGCGGCCACATGGCCTGGAAATGAATGTGTTTGCTCTCTGGATAAAGTGGGGCAGACCCTGAGTGTGAATTTCCTATAATTTTTGATATGTTTAATGCCATTAAACAATTCTTTCAATTGTTCAGTTGCTGGACAATCCCCCCCCCCCCCCACACACACACACACTCCGGCTTCCATCCAGTTAAATGTATTATAAAACATGGATGGCAGATAGCGTAGGGGTCTGTGCCCGACCTCAGTTCCATCCCTGGTGGTACCTGGTCCACTGAGCATCACCGGATATAGCCTGGGAGACCCCTGAGCACTGTAGGGTCCAAACGGCACCACATACTCAGACCTGGCATTGAACCGGAGTATCCTGGATGCCTATTTGAGACCACTGCACACTGCTTGGGAGGCTCAAAATGTGAACATAAAATCAATGTCGCAAAGGCATTCTGTATTTTATTTATTTTTCTTTGACGGGGGGAAGGAGGGGGAACTCTGGGTCAGACCCAGTGGTGCTCAGGGACAGGAACAGCTGGGAGAAATGTGAGTCAGGGCCTCCCCTCCGCCCCCTTCCTCCCCAGCCAAGCCCCCCGGAATGCTTGAGGGCACAGTCCTTTTGGAATTTCAAAGGTACGAACCTTGAAACTTCACCTCTGTTTTCCAAACAAACCTCTTTACCGATTCACTTCGGATGAAACATGCCTGCATATGTCCAAGACGGTTTTGAACCTATTTACATTCTCAACTCTGAGAGCTTCTGAGAGTAATGAATGACATCTGGGAAATTACCCGCCGAACGAAGACACGCTCCCTTGAAATTAGCCTAGAAACGACAATAGGAAAATGTAATTCTTAAAATAAATATTCGTGGTCTCAGCTCTTCTGAGGGGTTCCCAAGCTAGTTTTTCATTGCATTGGGGCTCCCCCGGGGGTTCACACGCTCTGGGATGGGGGTTGCGCTCGGGAGAGTTCCAAGCAAGTGAAGTAGACCTTGGGTCATCGGCCTGCTGGATGGACCAAGCTGACCATCTACCATCTAGCACTGTGGACTTGTCAAGGGTTTAGTCTCCATGGTTCTAAAAAAAAAACTGAGGAAGTACATCTCATTAGGGGATGGTGCTTGGATGGAGCCAGGGTGGGCTTCTAACCTTCCAGGGGTGCCCCCTCCCCGTGCCCCGTCTCCACCAGGCGTTTAGGAGACTGCGTTTGAAATAAACGTCTCTCTTCCCTTCTTTCAGGACTACTTGGACCTCACTCAGCCTCTCGAACCGTATTCACCTTGTCCTGACCCGCGATGAAATAAAACGTCTCTCTTCCCTTCTTTTAGGAATACTTGGACCTCACTCAGCCTCTTGAACAGTACTCACCAACTTACCCCGACACAAGGAGTTCTTGCTCTTCGGGTGATGATTCTGTTTTCTCTCCGGACCCCATGCCTTACGAACCGTGCCTGCCTCGGTTCCCACACATAAACGGCAGTGTGAAAACCTGAGGGGCCTACGTCTTGTCCCCCCGGGGGACGGCCCAGGACCCTGAGCAGGGCTGCCAGCACGGCTGTGGAGTCTAGTCTCCACATGTATATATGGATCAGAGGAGTAAATAATTGGAAAATAATCGGCACACGTGTAAAGAGTTTCTCCACAGAGAGATTTATCACCTTCGCCAGGAGAGGAATGTTTTGGGGGCAGCGGTCTGCGGGGGGCCCCCACCTGCCTGGGACCCGCCGTGGGGGCGGGCCGTGGGCCGGCTGGACTCAAGGCAAACTTACGGTTCTGCCTTCTTTGTGAATTTTGTAAGAATTGGAGAAAATATATGTCAGTACACACTTACTGAGCACAATGGCAGTATATAGGTGCTGGATGTATGTATATATATTCAAATTATGTATAAATATATATTATATATTTACAAGGAATTATTTTTTGTATTGATTTTAAATGGCTGTCCCGAGGCACCTAAAAAAAATTGGACTCTTTTTTTTTTTTTAAATAACTATTTGCTAAATACTGTTGTTCTTACACAGAATTTCTTAATTTTCACCCGACAGAGGTGGAAACATACTTTGCTTTCAGGGAAAAAAATGGTATAACATTAATTTATTAATGAATTGGTAATATACAAAACACTTAATCATTTATTGGTTTTTGTAATTTAAGTGACATTTCTATGCAGGCAATGTATCGGGACTGGTTAAGCTACTATTCACACTTAACTAGTTCTCTAACCTGGAAAAGAGAAATATCTACAAGGATCTGACTCGTGGGGGGTGGGGAAGAAGGTGGGATTTATTTGTGTTGAAGTTCTGCTGTCAGCGGAGGTCTCTGGAACCACAGCAGCGGTGTGGCGGGAAGTTACCCGCGCGGAAGGTGTTTGGTCGGGGCAGGATTTGCCAAGGAAGTGGCGGCCTGCATTCTCTTCAAAAGATGGTTCAGTCCTCCTGGGATGGACTTAGCCTGGTGGCATGCACTCTCTGGGCAGCTGGCCTTCTGCCCCGACGGCGACTTCATCAGAGAGGCCTGTCGCCCATGGGTTTGGAGAGTGGCTTCCGGATCAGCTGACGTCACACAAGCTTTTTTGCATACTCTTGTCTTACCCTGCAACCCAGAGCCGCTCTGCTGGTGGCTGGGGGTCGTGGGGGTGCGCGGCCAGTCCATCTCTTTAAGGGATCGCTTCCGTCTAATGCTGCCAGGATCTCACGTTCCTTCCATCTGAAAGCCTCGAGGGGCTGCTGGGGAAACGCCCTCATCACGGCTGTGGCCGTGAACATGGGTGCAGACCACACTGATTTGACCTGTTATATAATTGGAGAAAGTATTTAATAAAACCTGTTAATTTTTATACTGACAATAAAAAAAATGTTTCTACAGATATTAATGTTAACAAGACAAAATAAATGTCACTCAGCTTATTTTTCTAATCCTCTTGTCTTCCCAAATGGTTTCCGGTGTTTGGGCGGGTGGGTGTGGTCCTGGGGCCATGGGCTTGCAGCTGTGCCCTGTGAGGCCACCAAAGGTCCACCTGGCTTTCGCTGTCAGTGGGGGTGTCTTCCAGAGCGTGGGTGGCACCAGCAGGACCTGGGACGGGTGGGTTTGAGCTCTGGCTCTCTTGCTTCTTGGGGCTCTAGGATTCCTCTGTCATGCAGAGGCACGTAGGCCTCTCTTTGGAGAGAACTCGGGCTGGGGGGGATGGGGGGTGGGAGGGGGGGAAGGGGCATGTTCTTAGGATGCAGTGTTGGGAAAAAGTGAGACCTGCCTGGGTTCTGGCGACCTTGACAACATTCTGGTGGATTTCCTCATGAGAAAGAGACTTCATCATTTCAACAAGACCATTTGAGCAAGCTCCGACCTGACTTATTTCCCTGCTGCTAAGAGTCTGAAGGGAGAAACGGCCTTTAATCAATGTCAAAGTGGGTCTCACGTTCCATCAGGACTGCAAGCTCACGTCTGCCCCAAGGGTCTTGGGAACTGGGGGTAGGCTGGGGTGGGGTGAGGGGCTCCCTCCAGGCAGCCGGAGAGTGGCTGATCTTCCTGGTCCTGGGTCTGTCCACCTCCTGAGTGGGTTTTTTTTTTTTTTTTTTGCTTTTTGGGTCACACCTGGCGATGCACAGGGGTTACTCCTGGCTCTGCACTCAGGAGTTACTTCTGGCAGTGCTCAGGGGACATATGGGATGCTGGGAATCGAACCCGGGTTGGCCGCATGCAAGCAAATGCCCTACCCGCTGTGTTATCTCTCCAGCCCCTCCTGAGTGTTTTAGGAGTAGAGTGGGGCTGTAATCCCATTGCAGAGACTGATTATTTATTTTGGGTTTGGTGCCGGGGATGGAGCTCAGGCCCCCCACATGTAAAGTTTGTGTTTCAGCCCTTTAAGTTGGCATGGAGGAGGAAGGGTCTTGCACACATATGGCAACCCCACATCCCTGCCAATCTTGCTTATGATGGTCAACAGTGTCTTCCTCTGCTTCTGAGGCAGTTTTTTCTTTTTTCTTTTTGGGTCACACCCAGTGATGCTCAGGGATTACTCCTTACTCCTGGCAGTGTTTGGGGGGACCATATGGGATGCCAGGGATCGAACCCTGATTGGCTGTGTGCAAGACAAACGCCCTAATGCCCTACCCGTTATACTATTGCTCCAGCCCGGTTGGTGACTTTTTTAGTGGACACTGTCCATTGCAGCCCAGACCAACTGTCGGCCTTTAGCTTTAGAATGGAGAGATTTACCATCAAGGAGACAAAGGCCCCAGAGGGTCCTTGATAAATATGAAGTAAGCACAGGTAGGGCATGGGAAGAACATGGTTGTCCATGGCCTGCAGCCACCAGGCTTGAGGAGGACATGGGAATTCACGGACCCACATGTGGCTGTCACTGAGACAGGAGGCCACTTCCTGGGCAAGGAGCTGTAAGGTGTGACACCTTGGGGAGGGGGAGGGGGAGGTGGGGCCGGAGCCTGCTGTGGGCTATGGGACAGGACTATTCTAGAAGCTTCCCCAATCTACCTGGTAGCCTCAAGTGAAAGGACATGAGACAAATGCGCCTTTGGGAGAGTTCTGTGGGTACCCAGGGATGGCCCTGCTGGCCTGCGGCTCTGCCTCTCCTTCCTTTGGGTGCCTTGCCCACACTGGGGAGCACAGTGGTATTGGTCACATGGACAGCTGTGGATGGGGAAACGGTCTCTGTTCTGGAACGAGAAAGTTGTCAGCTTGGACCGATGAATCTCTGGAAGGGTGAGCACAGGGGTCAGGAACTTGAGGTTGGCTGAGAACTAGTCTGACGAGGCAAGACCGTTGGCCTTTCATCAACCAGGAGAAAGGGAAGACAGTTTGTCTAAGGGTATTCCCAAAGTGTCATCCCTATTCAGCGCCAGAACATTCGGTCCATCCCTGCCCCCACTCCCCAAAAGCAGCCCCAAACGGCCACTTACCTTCCTGCCGGCCACCGGGCTGCCCTCCGTGCCCGGACCTACCAATATTCCCACCGCATAGAAACAAGCGGGCAACAGGACCTGCTGTGTCCAGCCTCTCCTCATGGTATTGTCCAGCCTCGTCCAGGTGCCGTCCTATGTATGCTCCATCATTCTGCTTTTTTACTGCCAAATCATTGCACTGGGTGGCCAGGTCACACTTTTCCTATTTACTGTTGTGCTGAGGGACGTTTTTGTTATCCCCGACTCGAGGCAGTTCGGAGGGGGCTGCTCTGAGGCTGGTGCTTGTGCCTCCCTCACTCAGATGTGCCTAGGAGTGGAATTACTGGGCCATGTGAGAATTGTTTACTTTAAATTTTTTTTTATTTTTCCTTTATTTAAAAGTTTTGGAGTTGAAAGTGCTGGGGGGAAATGCAATTGGGGTAGAGAATCAACCATTATGACAAAGATAGTTGGAAATGATCAGTCTGGATAAGAACTGTGTGCTGAAAGTAGGAGGTAAAGGAACAGTATCTGTGTTGCAAGGACAGAGAGAGAGAGAGAGAGAGAGAGAGAGAGAGAGAGAGAGAAGAAAAGTAAGTGCCTGTGGACTGGGGGGAGGGGGGAGGGGTGGCAAGAGGGAAACTGGGGTCATTGGTGGTGGGAAATGGACACTGGTAGAGGGACAGTTGTTGAGTCACTGTATGACTGAAACCGGATCATAAACAGCTTTATAACTGTGTATCTCATGGTGACTCAATTACAAAATATTTAGATTTAAACTTTATTAGATAACTTTGTTATCTCCAGTGTTAAAACCAATAAGTATAAAAAATATTTTTTTAGGGGGAGCACAAACTGTTATAGTTGATCATGGGGTTTTAAGTCCTTGTCTAAGAATTTACTTAGCTGCTTATTTGCTAGTGGAGCCTTTTTTTGTCACTGTTTTTGTTGAGTTTCGTTGGCCTCTATGTTACTTTCCCATCTAGTTTGGTGGGATCCTATTGGAATTTCAGTGTTGAGGAATTAGGAGGAGGCTGGGTGTGTGGTAGCTGTGTGGTGATCCAGAGACTTCAGGGTCTCTGGTCTGGACAATGAGTTGACAAGGCAGATGTGGGAGGTGGATGTGGTTTACTGTTTGGAGGCATTACTGATTCTTCCTCCTTCCCCTTTCCCAGGAGCAGTGCACGAGGCTTCCCAATTAATCCATGTCTCTGCAGGGACTTGCAGGTGGAGGCTTCATTACCCCCGATGAGTGAGGCGTGCATGGTCTTCTAAGGAGATCACCACGAGGAGACGCCACTCAGGTCCCAGGTCCACACCATCTCTCGCCTTCCTTCTAGCCCAGAGGGTTGGCGAGTGGAGCTCTCAGGGGGATTAATGAATAGAAGAAGGCCACCCTCTTATGTAAGCACACTGGAGCTCCCTACTCTGCCTGTGTTCAGATGCTGTTCCCTTTTTGATGTTTTGCACAGATGAGAGCCAAGTTTATCTTCTCTCTCATTTCATTCCCCGAAAGACTTGAAATGATTTGGCTGGGCAGGAAGCGAAGCATGTGGCATAAGTGACACCCTGCAACTGTGTGTGTCTCCTGGTGTTCTCGGTCCCTCAGAGCCGCCAGGAGTTTGATGGACTCCTTTAAACTGCCTCCCAGGCTTACCACAGGGGTCATGTGAGGTGCTGTGGGAACAAGGCACAGGAGAGGCGAATCACCCGGATGATTGGCCCCTGTAGTAGGTTGGCTGTTGTCTGAGCACCTTTGGTATCAGTTGGGGTGGATTTCTCCTCAGGGCAAAGCAGAATCTAAAAGTGGATTTCAGTTCAGTGACAGAATTAGGCTTCGACCCTATCTGCACAGGCATCATACAAAGGGGCCAGTACAAGGGACGAAGGTGCTTATTCAGTGAGCAGCTCACCCCGAGTCCATTCCGACAGTGCTAGGAGTAGCCCCTGAGCCCAGAACTCAGAGTATCCCCCACCTCCACCCCCAAATCTTTGAACTCTACTAGCTTTTTGGTCTTAGGTTTGTCTTCTGATTGTTTCATGAGGTTTCCCTGGTCTGTTGAACAGAGGAGGTGGGCTGCAGAGACCACTGATGGGACAACGCAGGAGACTGAGGTTTGATCGAGGTGTCACCTGGTCTTCTGAGCACCACTGGGTCAGCCCAAGCATTGAGTTCTGAGTAGTCCCTGGAACGGTGGGTGATGACCATCAAAATGAAGCCAAAAAGAATGGAGGAGGAACTGTTTTCTGGGTCTTTACACAGGATGATCATTGGGGTGAGGGAGAGAGGAGAGAGTAAGGCACTTGTTCAATTCCCGGCCTCCGAGATGGCCCCCTGAGCACCGCCAGGAGTGACTGCTGAGAGCAGAGCCAGGAGGTAACCCCTGAGCATCACCATGTGTGACCGCCAAACATAAAACACACATACAACCTGGATGATCCTTGAATTTCACCTGATCTTCCCTGTAAAGCCTGAAGCCCACCCCTGCTGCCTGGTGCTCCATCACAGCTGCTGCCTCTCTCTGCCTCTGCAGTTCCTTCCACACAGGTGCTCTCTTCATCTAGATGGAGACACAGACACTGACGCTGATAGACAGCAGTGAAGAAAATAGGCCATAAGTAATAGAACTCATCCAGTCCATTGTGAATTTCACTGGGACCCTCTTCCCCCTCTGAACCCCCACTTTTGGTAAGGGCAACCCTCAACTGAACTCAGGAAGCCCAAGGCCACCCTCTGGGGTACTCATCACCCCAGCATTCCCAGAGTCCACCTAGGCCACTCCTGGTGGTGCTCAGGGAGCCACGAGGTGCCAGGAACGGGCCCCAGAACCTGGCATAGGTAAGGCCTGTGCCCCAGCAGTGGATATCACAGTCCCAGACTCTCTCCTCCCACTTTTAAACAATATTTTTTTAAGTTTTAAGTCAGTAAAAATAATACTCCATGTTGTGAGGAATCAGGAAATTGTGTTTGAAGATTCAACCTGTCAACTTCTGCTTTTGAAAGAAGTGTTTCCGGG